TGATGTTTTCATTATTACACTTGACTAAAACTGATACACTTCTTACAGAGTTCGAACTAGTCTTCCACAAAAAAACGATGGTTCGTTCTATTTCAAGTTAATAAATTTAATATCAAAAATTAGTTATGTGGATACTAAAGTAATTTAATAGTTGAGATCATGAATCAATTGAATAAAATGAATTGGACAATCTGATAGCTAAGATCATGAGTCACATGAAGCTAGACCACCATGAAAAACGTGGAAGCACTGGACGGCCGTTTCGTCCCATCGTAGGACTCCTCAGAAGTGTACATTCACGATCCCGCCTCACGAGATTCGAACCCACGAACCCACGAGCGCTTAACTTTTAAACCACTGAGCGGGATCGTGGATGCGCACTGCTGAAGAGTCACACAATGGAACGAAACGGCCGTCCAATGCTTCCACGTTTTTCATGGTGGTCTAGCTTCATGTGACTCATGATCTTAACTATCAGATTGTCCAATTCATTTTATTCTTTACTAACTTGTTATAATTGAATAAAACTTATATGAATCAACGCAATAAATGAGAATTTATTTAAGATAAAAACGAAGGCTTTTTATCAATTGTTATTTCTTCCTCATATCAGATTTTCTATCCTGAAGGTGGTTTTCTATGTCAACCAAAACTTTCATTGATATTATTCTTAAAAAGGACTTGAATGATTCCGTTATTAATACTCAAGACTGAATTACATCACAAACACTGATCAAAAATACAGTCAATTATTTCAACGGAATCATCGAAACACATACTACTAACGATACAAACAGTTTGCCTGTTGAATAAGCCATTGGTTATCTGGAATAATCAATTCAGTATATAACAGATATGTTTTAAAATGAAAAAAAGCATTGAATTCGAGTCCAAATAGTGATGTTAATATTGATATTTATTAGGTAAATCCGAATAATCCATCCAAAATAGGATAAAATACGCCTACTGGATTCTATTGTTTGCCACAATCCATCTATTCCATAAGATTTTTATTGTTTATTCTATATTATTATTATTATTATTATTATTATTATTATTATTAGTAGTAGTAGTAGTAGTAGTAGTAGTAGTAGTAGTAGTATACATATAAACATATATCATTACAGCCGAATATCATTCAGATAACTTTCCTTATCTGTATAGACTATTGTTCAGTAGTTATTTTCCTCTCATGTTTCCACTCTCTTTATTTTATTCATATTATCCATTCATTATATGAGTCAATTGACGTATACGTATATATACTACCGAATGTATTGCTTATCGTTTTACTCATATCCTCCACAACTTACTCTTTCTTCTTCTGAATATGGTATGCATTTTTTCATGGTTGTTTTTGTTTATAATAATGTGTCAGGTATATAATCTGTATATATACTAATCAGTTTATATGATCAAGTGTTTAGATATACAATTAGAAATCTATTAAAGGAATATATTGTCAATAGGAAAAATAGAAAAAAAAAGAAATCATTATACTACTGAATTGAGTCGATAAATATGCATATATATGTTAGATGTATTTATTTGTAGACGTTCTACATCTCTACATATAGTCATGTGCTGATATTAAGGTATATGTTATATGTTCAGATACTACTCAATTATATGATGTTGATCATGATGATGTTTTATAATTCATATGACTAAGTGTTAATACTAACATTACAGTTAATTGGTTGAATAACTTGAATTGAAATTATGTTCAGTTATAAATCAGTTGACTTCATGTACAACCCTCCTTCTTTACCTGGACATGCAATCGGCAATAATCGTAAGAGAGCTACAGGCTGCAGTATGAGGTAAGGTTTAACTTGGAATCCTGAAAAGGAAATGGAAAAGAGGAAGAACAAAGAATACATTGAGTCAGGAATCTTAAGCAGACATCAAAAGCATAAATAGAGAATGAAAGGAACTGGAAAAATTGCTCAGGACAGAGTTCAATGGAGAACGTTAATCGACGGCCTATGCTCCTCCACGAGGGGTAACAGAAGTAAGTAAGTAAGTATTAGAATTTGTTTAAACATGAGATATCTAAATAACTCATTTTCAACATCAAATATCGTAACAAATCTATTGTAATTGGAATTGATAACACGTTCATTATTAGTATCATGTTAACTCAATCAACTTATGATACATTTATAATATAGTTGACTTTGATGGAGTTTCGTTCTCTGAGCTGAACTGTTTGGCTGTAGAGCTTCCATTGTTCTTCTAGTCTAGTTGTCCTTTTATTTTTATATATAAATGTTCTTAACAAGTATATTATGTATGATCAGATCGTTCGAAATGTACTGCGCTATCTCATCACATAGTTCTGATAATCTTCAGCTTCTTATTACACTATGGAAATTGTCGAAGGGAGTAATTGCATTAAATTTATCAAAAATGTTGAAGAATGTCTATGAGAGTGTGAGAAGTAAGACAGTGAAAACTGGTTATTTTCAAGTGAATCAAGCATCAAGGTTGGAAGAATGGTGAAAAGGTAGGATGATTGTTTATCTTCTATCCTAAGTAAAATTATTAAATATGCACCATCTCTTGTAGTTTTTGACTGCTGATTATTTTAGCATTGCTTTCTGAAGAACTGAGCTTTGAAGAAATGTAAGCGAATATGTTTCTAGATAAACATTGAAGGTTGAGATAATTGTGTCCAGAAGAAATCCGACAAGATAGCTGTAGTAAGATGGTGGTTGGAGGTGGTCAACAGGCAACCGTGGACCCGGGTTTCGTGCTATTTGGCACTCGTCAGCAAGGTGTACCTGTAACCCTGAGGGAACTGATGCTCCCTGGCGGATTCCATCCCGTCACTTAGCTTTACAGTCAGAGACGTTACCACTGAACTATTCGGGCCGCAACCGACCTCCTGTGGGACTGAGATGTAATCACAATTGATTGATCACTGGGTGGTGATCAAGGACTTGACACGCATGACATTGATCACCACCCAGTGATCAATCAATTGTGAAGGTAGCTGTAGTTCCTGATTTATGAAGACCTTAAGGAAGGACCGAATAATAAAAGCGATGATCGAAGAAGTAAGTTATCCTAAATAGAGAACACTTCGTAAAGGTCGAATAAATGTGCTCTTGTTTATGTGATGTAAATTTCTATTGAACTTACTTCGGGTATTTATTGAATAGATGACATGAATCTGAAAAAAAAGCGTGACATCAGGGAGTCTACAAGTATAAAGTAGCAGTATGCTGACGATCAATCTTGTGTCACTTAATTTAAAATGATTGACTACGGCCTGAGAATATTTCACTGGTATACATGAAATTGTCTGTTTCATTTAACTCTATTCTATCCAACAGCCTATCATTTCAATAATACATATTATGTATTTGTTTGACTAATAATAACGTGTTTTTATTTTACACGCATACTAGCTAGTATAGGATATCCGAGAAGACAGTTATGCTGTCACATGTACTTCAATAATTAGAAAAAGAGGCGCGGTGAGATCAAAGTAACTTCAAAAGAATACGTTAAGTTTCAATTATTATCAAGTACAGTTTGTGAACATTACCACAGTATATACCGTGACTGTTGTCAAATGAAGTTTATATCAAGTCAAAGTAAGTGTAAATTAGAAATGAGATATTTTCAGTGATAAATCACAAATTAGAAATTATTATTAAATCTAAACTTCTAGACCAGTAGACTGACATCAGCTGATAAACACATCTATCTTTAATCAATTCACAATAATACGTGACTATCTATCATAAATTGTAATGCAGTCACACAACCAAAATTGTTGAACTTTATTAGTCACTAGAACTCCAGGAGTTGCATCTTAAAAATAGTCTTTAGTTAATACATAATTATTGTCAGTATAAAGTTTACTGGATATTGTAGAAGTTTTAAAGTTTCATTGACGAACTGAGATTAATTAAAGATCGTGACCAGTGAGGTACAACTATGTTGAGCATGAGACAGTTACTAACTAGAAACAAAAGAAGATGCTCCCAAAATATTACAAACTCATTGAAGTTAGACATGTATACCACTAGGTGCCTGCTTCATCGTTTACAGGTTCAGCATGTACACCAGAGACCAGAGATCCTGAGTTTATTTCTTTTGTGCCAAGTCTGTGGATGCGTACTGCTGAAGAGCCCTATGCCAGAACGAAGCGACTATCTAGTACTACTTGTTTTTAATTTAATTTTAATGAGAAGTTTGATGATAGTATCTTTCTTCAATGATATTGTCAAACCATGAATTCGTTATTACACCATAGTTATTTTTCGTAAAAATACCTGTGATTATCACTAATCTGTGCAATATTATGCTTTACAAACATTTCTCAATATACGAAATGACTAATAATTTTTCAGAAAAACCTGTGTTTTTTTAAAAAAAAAATTATGATATTAAGACAGGCTTTCATATCAACTTGAAACATGATACCTAGACGTACTTAAACCCGTTATTACTATCTTCAAAGAGTGATTTATCCAAACGTAATCCCTTGTTTCAAGATCTCAAAGTCTTCAGTTAGATTCAACATTTAATCATCCATCTGAATCATTGAAGAATCTTTTCCTAGAATAAAACCGCTCTCCAGTACTTTCCGATTTCGACTGATTATCTATCTAAAATCAATAAATAATGTAAATTAAAAAAGAGAAAAACTTTACCAATCTATACAAATCTTCTATAGTAACTAATTTGTTTATATCAAATAGATAATTAGTCTACATTTCTATAGTTTACAATTGATAAGTGTTATATTTGATCCTAAAAAAGAAAATAAATAAATAAATAAAAGTATCCTATTGGTTTATTAATAATTATGGATAGGTGGATGAGAATAATTTTCATGTCTATCTATCTATAATTTGTATTTTTGCAAATGATTATCATTAACCAACCAATATTAAAAGATTATGAATCAGTTTGTATTATTATTACTATTACTCTCTATTGTTTAAAAAAAAGCAGACGAAAAACTTTTGGTTTTTTTTTTTCAAAATTTAACAACCATACATTGACATACAGATGTGCCTAGAAACAAAATAACTACATCTCTACCATGTCAACAATCATAAGAAGGGAGAAAAATTTTGTATTCTTTGAAACCGTGTTCATAGATATTTTATATACATATTGTTCTCTTTTTTTTTTAATTTAAAATTGTAAAGGGAGACTGTAAAGGAAGAGAAAATTTTTAAACAATGAAAAATTTACAATGAATTTAAACAAACATTCTCATAATTTTGGTAGACAATAATAAGTATTTATATATTTACATATAGACATATATGTTTGAGGTGTATTCATTCCAATTTCCCATAGATACATATCTATATATGTATACGCATGCATACATTATATACAACAACAAATGTTAAACTAAGTATCTTTATAGTTCAAATCACATCTCATATGGTATATTCAGTGAAGTGAGCACTTTTTTTTAATGATCATTCCTTTGAGTTGTATATCGGTATAAGATCACATAGGTATTATCCAATTAAATTTACATATACTTATATATTTCTCTCTATAAATACATGTATGTATATAATAACTACAACAACAGCAACAACAGTGTGTGTTCTCCACAGATCATTTACACTCAACAACAACAACAACAAAAAAACAAAAAAAAATTTTTTCTTCAAATTTTCAAATAAATAAATAACCAAACAGCTTGTTTATCATTTCAATATTTATAAAAGAAGGACAAAATTCAACATACTATGCACAATTATAATATCATATCATTTAATCATATAATTTATGATCAAATTATAATTTTAAAATATTATATTTTATTATTACCATTTATGATAATTAAAAATTTCGCATTATTTCTATTACCATGGTTACAATATCGAAAAAATTTAAAAAATAAATTTTTATTAAATCAATTAAATATAAAATTTATTTTATTAATTATAATAATTATAATTAAAAATCAATTAAAAATTGATTTATTTTATTCAATTAATGCATCTATATTAAAAGGATCATCATCAACATCATTATCATCCAATGATTATTATTATAATTATTATCATTATAAACCAACAAATAAAGATTTAATTCAATCTTATTTAGAAAAACCAAAAAAATGGTTATTACAAAAAGCTAATAATCCATTTTTATCAAATCTAATTACAAATAATGATCATATTAACCCTTATAATAATAATAATAATAATAATAATAATAATAATGAAATTAATAATGAAAATGATAAAATTCACCAACAATTTAATAATCATCAATATATCAATAAACAAACATTATTGATTATTGAAAAATTTAAAAAAAAATTATTAATTCAATTAAATTTAAAAACGATACCAAATATAAATATAAATAATAAATCTGAATGGAATTCATTACCAATAATATTACGTAATCGTTTAAAAAATGAAATTGATATTACAAATCAATTAATTAATAAACCAATTAAACAAGATGAAGAAAAAGAAACATTAATTTTATTGAAACAATGTAAGTTTTTAGGGTTATTATTATTATTATTATTATTATTTTGTTTTTGAACTATAAACTAAGATATTATGTAATAGATTGGCAGAATCAAAGTAGGAACAATCTTATGTAAGTCCTTTTTGTAAAGAACTATTACTATGACTACATCAATGTACTATTTGTATCATTTAAGCTGTTTGTTAAAATTAATAATTAACTCATTTGCCAAGTAGAGATTTGTGTATTTGGCTATGAAGTACACTGTAAATATGAAGATTAGTTATACTAACTGGTTATTCAAACCGAAATTGATATAGTGGCATTCAATTATGAAATGAACTGTTAAAAATCCAGGAATGGGAAAATATTATTATTTCGTCATAGTATTCAGTTTCTTACAGATGTATATCACTAGTTAACTCTTTATGGATATATTCCAATATTTGACTGATATTTAGTTTTGACTAATAAATGTGATTAAAGGATTTATTGAAACGTATAACCTATACGTTAATTAATTAAGCTAGTGTTATGTTTGGAAAAAAAAGTTTTTCTTATTCAAACGAAAATCTATTTTACAACTCAGTATAACATGAAACAAACCAGTTGATGATTTATTTATTTACTTAAACACATAAATATTGGTACAAGGGGGCACCAGATATATACGTGTCACACAAATCTCATTTGATTTGTTTGAGGGCTAGATACAACCCGGGTGCCCTAACCGACGCAGGTGGTTATCTTATGGGATCACACTCGAAGCCTTTGACTTAAAAGTCTGATCCACAAGACAGTGGAGCATCGTGAGGAGATGCAGTTCCGTGGTAACCGGTGACCAACAATTGATTCATACACCATTTCTTCCTTCACGATACTGCAGCCCATGTGCACCATTGGTTTGGAATCAGGGTTTTCCAACTCCCCTAGGTGAAATTTCTGTGTCCATCAACCCGGTTAAAACGTTGGACATTCGTTTTTCGTCCTCTCAATTTCGTAAACAACACCCCTGCCACGAAAAGATAGTGAGTAGGACTTCCCTGGCAGAGGCTATTTATTCGCGTGGCGATTTGAGAGCATTTGGAGAGGGAGAGCAGACTCTCCTCACTCCCGGCCGTATCAGAGCATTTAGGGGCTTTGGTACAATATAGAATTCTCAGTACAAAATATTTTAAAAAAGGTTCTTTTTCTTCCTTATTAGTTGATCCTGAGGATAAATATTGATTGATCTTCAGTTAGATGTTAACAGTCCAGGAATTGACATCTAAATAATGTACATTCTCTTTGTTTCATATTGTCAGCAACCACGATATCTCTGATTAGGTATTGTATGCAACTTGTACAGTGCAACTTTGTAAACTTCTCATAAACTTAATAGGTTGTATGATTAATAAATATAATGTTGTTTATTTGTTTGCTTTTTCTCGGTAAAATTTAATAATGGCTAACTGTGTAGTCTACAACTTGCGTTCTAAACGTTAACACTGGGATGCTAGTATACTCAATTGACAAGTCCAGAATAAAAAGAAAATCACTTTGTGAACTTTATAGCTAGACACTATTCAACCTTACCAACAAAAATAATAACAATTATATTAGGATGGGGATTTGTGGAAATTATAGTAATTTGAATAGTTGAACTCATGAGTGAACCTGAGTTAGACCATCATTGGGACTCCTAAGCAGTACGCATTCACAATTTTACAGGCGGGATTCAAATCCAGAACCTTTAGTCTCGTGTGCGAATGTTTAACCTTTAGAACAGAAAATCTTTGCATGTCTATATAATAAGACTCTTTATAATGTATATATATAATGGACAGTATTCTTTTTCATGCTGTCATATTTATTGTAAGATAATCAACTGTACAACCGAATGAAACCTTTATACAATTATAAAATATGTCAATGTCATTGAAATCGAATATTGGTACTAAACGAAAATGATTGGAACTGAATTAAGCTGCCTTAAATTCACCTTATTACATCTAATCATATTATCTTAATGTTAAACAAACTATTAGATCCTTCAACAATCCCTATCTATCTAACAAACTTAAATCTTTCAACAATTTTAAATTATTTTACTCTTATGATAAATTTAATTTGATATAATTTAGTTGGGTAGGTAAACCAGACTATGGTGTGTTCGTGTGTCTATACGACGAGACAATTTGGTAATGTAAAGAGTGATTTCATAATTAACTATCTTCCATACTAAGCTGATCTGAATTATGAGAAGCAAGATTTTCTATTTAAAAGGTTACTTTAATACCATAGTATATTACTTCTTATTTAAATGTTGACTCAATCACTTTACGTATGATGATATTTCAATTAATCTGGAGCCAGTTAGTCAAAGATTAGCAACATATGCGTTAAGATATTCATTTTAATTTCCTGATAGACTAAATCATACGAACGTTGCCGACTAATTCATGGTTACTTTTGATGAAACATCCTTGTTTATCAAGATAATACTTTTTGAAAATATTGACATAATTTGTCGAAATTCTGATTTCTTACCTTTGCTAGTAACAAAACTAAAAAACCCTGCTAATTGTGTACGATAAAAGACGTTCAAATTCAGTTTAATAACACTATATACCGTCAAATTGATGGTGTAGGAATGGGAAGTCCATGAGGCCCAATTATAGAAGATATTTTTATGATGTATCTTGAAAATATGTCCTTTAAACAAGTGATTAGCGAAACAACGGAATACTCAAAATATGTTGATGACACTGTTATTGTCCGCGATTGTAAACAGCATGCAATCCGCCCGTTAGAACTCTTCAAAAATCCTTATCCCAACATACAAATTACTATGGAACCGGAAAAGGATAACATATTTCACCTTCTTGATATTGCTATACAACGTAGAGGAGAGGGAAATTTATCGAAAAAGCATTTGGAATGGTCTTTACCTGAATTTCTGTAATATTTGTCCAATCACTTACAAGAAATCACTAATCAAAACAAATTTTTAGTGTAGAACAGATAAACATCACCAACAAACGGAAAGAAGATTTGATAAATGTCAAAAAGTGCCCAAAGACAACTGTTACCCACAGAAAAATGTATTGATATATATAAAAAATCTGAAGAAAACAAGACGGAAGTAAATACAGACAATAAAAAAGCAATATCTATAAATCTCGCCGGCCAAAGAACACACTACGCCGGGAAATAGAAGCCGATAAGAAAAGGATGAATAGCAACTGGAAAGAACTGGAAAGGAAGGCTCAGGACAGAGTTGGATGGAGAATGCTGGTGAGCGGCCTATGCTCCTCGACGAGGGGTAACAGGCGTAAGTAAGTAAGTAAGTATAAATCTCAACTTCAAAGCTGATGACATCACAAATACAATCATCAGGGGGCCTAACACTGCATTAGCCAGACCTCAACCGGCAGCCAAACTATTAATTCTGTACTAAACAACATGTTCAATAACCTAATCAAAGGTCAACAAGCACCCCCTTTTTGTTACCACCAATTGTGTTCATACATTTACGTGTACCTGATAATACATTGGACGAACAGAGAGGATGGTACATCTTAGATTTGTTGAACATGTTTCAAAAAGCCTTAGAACAAGAGAACGAACAACTCTAAACAGTGCAATTACCAAACATCTCTTGGAGACAAGACGTCAGGTCGATATCCTACAATCTTTCAACGCCATTAATAAACAGCGAACCTTTATCCTTCTGAAGTCGTTCCTATCAGGTGTCAAAAACTTGATTTATATGTTCTAAAGGATATTGATCTTTCCTTGCCTTGGTGACAATTGTTTCTTCATTGCGTCTTAACTCTTCCTTCACATTATAACGTCTTTTTATTTCAACTTTCTTATAGATTAATAACTTTATTAACTGGGCTTTACTCATTTTATTCATATCCGAGTTTAATCATTACGTAATCACTTGTTTCTGTCCCTTTGAACTCTTGTTATAATCAGCGTTGTAGAATGTTCTTTTGCATAAGATATGTACTTACAATATTCAGTTTATTAGATTTATTTGTCATACTATACTGATATGTGAGACTATCATTGAAAGCCTGGATGTACTGAACGACAGTGTCGTCCAAGTATATGACTCCTAAGAAGTTTGCATCCATAACTCCATATGAACGAATCGAACCCTTGACATTCCGCTTTGCCCGTAAGTGCTTAATCACTATACCACAGAGTCAGCATCTATTTGTATTAATGTCTAACTTCGATCAATACACAACAGTGCGCGACTATCATTTTCTTCAGTGGGTAACTGCCTCACAACTGACACAATAATCCACTACTTCCAGGTTTTCAATTGTGGTCTAATTTAAATCGGATCATAATTTCAATGAAAACCAATAATCTTCACAACCTCTTATTGATAATAATCCAATTCTTAACGAGGGTTTAACATAGTTGGTGAAGTTGAAATGGAACTGAAAATCATAATAAAAAGAACGGAACACAAAATATATGATTAAAACATCCTTTAGATTAACACTTATTTATATGTTTAAAATTAATAATCGTAGTACGTAATAGAAAAGATTATGAGGGGTCCCATACTAAGAAGAAACAGCCGTCCAGTGCTTCCAGGTTTTCGATAGTGGTCTAATATTCATAGATATATGATCTTAATCAAAAACTTGACACAAGGGGGTGTTCGTGGAGATTTAGTAATTTTAAAGTTAAGATCATGAGTCAATTGAAGCTAGACCACCGTGGAAAACCTGGAGGCACTGGACGGCCGTTTCGTCTTATTATGGAACTACTCAGCAGTGCGCATCCACGACCCTACACTCGCGACATTCGAACCCAGGACCTATCAGTCTCGAGCCAGAGCCCTTAACCGATAGACCACTAAGATGACATCCAACGGTGTTAATGTCTAACCTCAACCAATCCACGAAATTGCGCGACCAGATTCCAATGTACTGAAGTAGATACCTGTCTCTACCTGACACGGATTAACTCCACTGGCCACGACTTCTTACTAGAACTCCAGAAATTACCTCAAGGAG